AATAAAGTCATGCTAGTTTTTTTTCGTGGTGATTTATTACATAGTACAAGCTATTTACAGCTTTTACGAACTTCTGATTTTTATGAAATCATGTGAAATGTATTTGAAACCTGTGATAAAAGAAAAAACGGGTTTCATCAGAATACAATTTCAATATTATAGCATCAGTGGTCAGGGGTAAAGTGAATAAAATTAAGAGAATGGCACAATTTCTCTTAGGATTTATCCCACGTCGAGCTCAATTTACAGCCAACACTAAAATGTGTATGAGTTTTCTTCAGAGTGTTAAAATCATGAAGCATTGATATATAAATACTTCATCAATAACTTATGCCTGGGTCACATTTGCTCCGATCCATCGGCCGGCGCCCGGCCGATTGAGTGTTTTGCTCAATATTGTATTCAATTTTGAACAAAATACTCAATCGGCCGGGCGCCGTAGTGAAAATCTTAGCAAATGTGACCAAGGCATTAGAGAAAGTTGTTTTTAAATGGCATCTCTATAATATAAAATGATCCATAATTTCTTCAAAGTAAACATTATGTACACAGTTTTATACATTAAGTCTTTTACAAGGTGCATACCTTATCACACTGTATGTACAGTGATCGTCTACTATTAAAAGTGCGTGATCAAAGACTCGACAAGATGCGCAAAATTCAAATATTTTGTAACGGTTATTTTTAAAAGATTTATTTGTGTTTATATTACAGGCTACTGGTTATTCAATTAGCTTTTGTAGGCACAGGAACACCCTTATGCTTTGAGAAATATATATCAGTTTGACCATTTTTCGTAAATGTTATTGATTTTACGATGTAAAGATATAAATGCGATGTAATATTTGTTATTTTATTTAAAAAGCTTAAAAATATCGAAAACAATTGAACATTTTTACTCTCTTTATTTTTAATACTTAGGTAGGGTCTTTGGCTTCCATTTGACCATGATGAAATTCACGTTTCCTCTTAAATAACATGGAATTAATATTCTAAAACAGAAACGAATGGATCAGCCTATAGCGTGAGTTTCAGCAAACCATATATCATTTTCATACATGCTTTTCAAGAAAAGAAAAAAGGGGTTTCTCGCAAAATGTATGTTTAAAATAAACATGTTCATCACCTTTCACTGACTCAGTCAATTAAATGGTCACTGTGTGTGCGTACATTTTGTTTCTGCCTAGGTTTGAATACATTACCATTAATGATAAGTACACTGTACAGTAGAACCTGCTAAGTGAAACACCTCTTGAAGCGTAACACCTTATACGAGGAACAGTTTTTAAGTCCTATTTCAGTCCATTTATTTTACCTTCTGATCCAAGGAACGAGAACTTTACACATTGGCATTCAAGATGATTAACGAATTGTAATGCAAGAATTGAATAAATCATAAATGAAAATGCATGTTACTGTATCGCCCATTGTCATGATTGTGCCTGTTTTGGACATGGGGTCTCATAATAAACTTATGAAATATAAAATCTGTACATTATCTATTTCATTGGGGAATTAAATCATTCTTTTGCATCAAGGTATCAATAAGTATCAGTAGATGCCAGTTGTCAGTTCCCAGTTTCACCACGAGGTGGCTAACTTGGGTCATATATGAATGACAGGTATAAGGGAAAGCTCCTCTAAAGTTCAATATTCAGTAGATGTATTAATCAATTTTCAACTAAGGTCTATAGGTGAATAGCTTGAGGATTTTAGAATTGCATGTAATCGAATACAAACACCCAGTGGGTGTTTTAAAGAAACTCTACAAAGTGTGAAATAAATACCATGCTATTATCTCTAATAATGGTGATTTTATTTTATTTTGTAGCAGTTGAATGAGGGATTTTGGATGATTTCATTCGATTATTGTCAATCACTGAAATTGTCATAAATTAATTACTTTCTACAAGTATGTGTTTATTTATTGATTTCACTTCATTTGGTATTACTCAAGAGAAATTTCTTGTTATCATTCTAAATTTGCCTCTATTTTCAGTAATCTTTCCCATCTTCATCTCTTTTCTTCATGATGTTCTACAAGGTGGTTTATAATGATTTAAAATTTAGGAGTTCGAAATGAAGGACAGTAAAATCATGTAAACCCAACCACTCTGAAATGCAAAGAACATATCATTAGAATCCACATGGTAAAATCACTCACTTGGCTGATCATAAATTGTTTTCATAACATCCTTCTTACTCGACACTGAAGGGGAGTTGGAACGTCTTATATGCATGTAATGTTAAGTATTATGTACATTAATCATAGGCATGTCAGTTTTGTGGTTTTGGTAATCTAAAAACAGAAAATTTGGTGAAATATACATTTTCGTTCGGCGGGTTTTTGATTTTGCTTCATTTATCAACTCAGTTCAGGTAATTCGGTTGAGCCAATCACTGAATTCTGTTGCCAAATAAATCTTGAGTCTCTTATACAGCATATGGAATACCATCTGTAGGTAAAATGACATTAAGGTGGTAAAGAGAAGAGAAACAAACATACCTTTCCTCCGACATTTCGAATTTTGCGCATCTTGTCGAGTCTTTGATCACCCACTTTTAATAGTAGGCGATCACTGTACATACAGTGTATCAGCATAGCATCCATAATATATCCTGTGCTGATGGTCTTAAAGTTAACTGAAGTGATAGATCAATTCTCAGTATTCCAATAATCGACATTTTAGAGGGAGATCAATAGAAAAAATCTAAGAAATTCCACTTTTTGAAAATTCCCAATCCAATCTACATTTTATATGAATCAAGTCCATCTTTTAATGCTTACCTTTTTATCTGATTTTTGGAATTTAGGATAACTTTTCTCCAACTTTCATTATAATACTTAAATCTAAAGTATTTCCAGTTTGTTGGTTCCACATTATTTGAAATGATAATTTGGAATAGTAATTGTTTATATTTTTCTTTAATCGTTTCATTAATCATTGAACAATTTACCTAAGCCTAAAAGGGGCACACATAATAGTGCTGACAACAAAATAAATCTATGTGTAAGGCCAATCAATATTTTTAAAAATGATAATAGTCGATATATTATCTAGTAATTATCAATTCACTCGTCAATGGTCGTTTTTCGAAATGTTTCCCCGTCTTTCACCTGAATTGCACTATTCTTGTCATTTTAAGGGGAAAGTACAGTATACCATTAACATATATACGATGTAAATGTCTATTTATATCCTGCAATATATTTCCAAAGATTGTGTACACACATGCAGATTTTAATGACTGAGGAAGAACGGGTAATCCGTATTTCATTTTCATTTTCACTGAACTACACTGTATCAAAAGGCATCCCGGGTTTACAACACTAATACATTAGGGAGCATATAGTATATAATTGTCACACATAGTGACTTAATTCATTACAAAGTATGTTCGTGAAATGTCCTGTGAATGAAATAAACCAGTTTGAATCTTGATAAATGCAAAAGTATATTAGCTCATGCAATCTTTGGATACCCCCCCCCCCCCAATCATATGGATACAATAATCACCAAACTCCCATCATTTCTAAGAAATAGACTGATCCAATAAACTCGTCTGGAGCCACCATATTGTTTCTACGGGAAACATACAGAAACCTTGAAATCAAACCCTGGGTTTACTGTTCATATAAATGCGATGGCAATAGTCGGCTAACTGTCAAAGTGATATAGTATACAATTATTGACCTCTCCAGAGGTTTACTGTCAAAATTATATCCCGAGACTGTAAATCGAGACCGTAGGTCGAGGTTTACAGTCGAGGGATATAATTTTGACAGTAAACCGAATGGAGAGGTCTATAATTGTTTTGTTAGTCCGAAGAATATCTTAGATTTTTCTGACCCTTGAAGTTGACTTGAAGTTGGATCAGTCCAGACCCTCGAGACGTTCATACGGCAGTAAGTTCACTCAATGGAGTCAAATTACTCTCCTGGGCGAAGTCCACTAAAAGCTTTGTACAAAGTTTTAGATTTTTCTTCGTATTTTGACTGTCTTTACTCTCTAAGAGACTAATAATATCCTCATCTTCAACATTTTTGAAACGGCTAGTGCTAGCGGCGGCCATTTTATCGTCTGATAATGACGTCATTTTAATGGAATGCTGGGAATATTATTCACCGGCAATGCATTGCGCGGTGTACAGTTAAAATTATTCACCGCTCGTTGACCAATCAAAATCGAGTATTTCAACTGAGGTACTAACAAAGATAATTATTAACCTGCAAGAATTTTAGCATGAATCATTAAAATCATATTCTCATTCAATACGCAAACATGTCGTCCATCTAGTAAGAATGAGGAAGCAAAAAACATCACAAGCAATACATCATGTGATTTTTTCCTTTCTCCGCCCTGATTTATTGCGTTGTGCTCGTTTTTGACGCAGCAATTTAAACTTTTTAAAACCTATTATAAAAATTTTAGGAAAGGCACTCAACGGACTACGTTTTTGCTGATATGTTAGATTCAGATGTTTACGCCATTTTGAAAAGTCGAGAGCATTGAAAATAATATTGAAAAATAACAGTTACAGCCTATCATATTATGTATTATATATAATATATCATTCATTACATCATAACACATATATTTTTATTATCTATGACTATGTATCTGCATTGAATTGATTGCTTTTGTATAATTTATAAAGGCGATCTATTCAGTCTTTGAAAATACAATTTTATTGATATACACAACATTGATTTTATCCCCCATGTCGCGTTATTTCAATGAAATATTTAGTCCAAACCCAGACATTTCATAATTTATCACCCCACTTATTGGAATTAGTAAGAATTCACAACGTATCTTAATGGTAAACAATGGATGTACTGGTAGTTTCTTCAATCATATGGATACTATTGTTTTATAATGGACTTCAATTTTCTGAAGGATCATGCCATGCCAACAACAATGGAGTTTTTTATACTCAACACTTTCACTACCAAAACATTGGTAAACTCTACAGGTCTCCAAATTCTCGAATCAAAACATCAGTAATGGATAGGGCACGATTTGATATGACACTTGCTACTCACCAATGCTTCTCGAGTTGCCAAGAACAAACTCAACCAAAGTGTGTCGCGGTGAATTTCAACACTGAGAATGCAACGTGTGAACTTCTTTCCACACAGCCCGTGTACTTATTCGATCCTTACATAATACCCGATGAGAAATGGGCATTGTATACAGAAAAAAAACTAGGTAAGATTATAAGAAACAGATAATTTTATATTCTAAGAATGTGATGATATTATGGGAAAGACAGGGTGTTAAAAACGCAACCTAAAGAAATCGCCATATCTTGGAAAATACTGGTTCAATTATGTTCATTTTTTCGGGAAAGAAAGAAGAGACTGTTTGTGTAAACCTTCCGTGGATGGTTAGTTGTAAAGCATGATGCCTTGGAAACCTGCTCAAAAGAGAGTTGTATTAGGAAAGTACGAAAAACGCAGTCAGGGGTGACTACTTTTGACCAAGACTGTATAGTCCCTGGAGTGATTTTGTTGAAACTCCACAACGTCACTTCACGTTGAATGAAAATAATTTGTGCCAAATCTGAAGTGCAAAAACACTATGGTTATAAATATATTTGGTTTTATTGCTGTGGCAGTCACCTCTGAGTTTTTCGTATTTTCCTAGTTCAACTGTCTTTGACCAGGTGTCCAAGGCACCATGTTTAACAACTAACCATATTTCCAGGAGCTAAACATACACAGTTTATTCTTTCCTGAAAAAATGAACATAATTGAATAAGTATTTTCCAAGATATAGCGATTTTCCATTCGCATTTTTCGTATTTTTCTAATACTAATGTCGTTTGAGCAGGTGTTCAAGACACCATGTTTTAATTACAACCAACTAACAACAGTAGCTATGCATACGCAGTCTCTTCTTTCTTTCCTAAAAAATGAACATAATTGAATTAGCATTTTCAAGATATAGAGATTTCTTTGGGTTGCGTTTTTAATACCCTGTACTATAACAAAGGGTTAATACAAACGGAAGGGGTAATACTTTGGGAATGGGGGATATGATTGGAAATTTGAATAGTATGTGAAAATTGAGATATTGTGGGGATAGGGAAATATGGAAAATGTAAAATATGGGGCAATTATAACCCCTGTTTCAATCTGGAAATTAGTGCAATAGGCCATTCAACGATCATGGACCAGCAGTGTCAAAATATATTTAAGGTTGGATATGTCATCAAGAGAAACATATGTTTTTATTATCTCCAAAGAAACCCCCTGGATGAATATTATTTCAGCTGATATTCCACTTGAAACGTGGTGGATCTTCAAAATTTATAAGTGGGACTCCATTTATAGAAGCCATGAACTGAATTTACACTCATTAATATTAAAATTGATATTTTATTCATACATTTTAAGAAAAAAGGTATGTCAAAGAAGATGTAAAAGTAAAAACTTTCGAATTTTCTCTCTACAGGCCTTGTTGCCCCTTTAAGTCAGATACTCTTCTCTGTAATGTAATTATTTGCGTTGGCTTTAGCTTTGCTCTCCGTATCATAAGTCGCTTCATATCCATCATATTCATTCATTTAATCACTTCATTTTCTTGTAATCTCTTGTACTGACGTGTCGCAAAAAGCTCGCGCACGCATTGTTACACATTTTGTGGCGTAATCCAGAGGATCCTCGCTTTTAACATGATAGAATGTGACGTTTTTGAGAAAAATGTACACACATGAAAATCCTTTCGTCCTCCACATTTACCTCTATATCTCAAAACATTTTAGACGAATAACTCTGATATCATATATATATTGTTAATGGGCTAGGAGCATCATAAAACACGAATCAATTGATATTTTAGGTGAAATAAATATACGTGTTGCTGTGCTTGAAAATAGGCGAATGGTGTAAATTAGCCCTATTTTAATGAATTTTGAAAACCTTTCGTCCTCCACTTTTCCACATACAACAGAAAACACATACTTTTGTGAACAAAATCAACTATTTGTTAATAAACTAAAGTTTAGGAGCAAAATAATCATGTATGATTTATTAAAAATTGATCTCGTATTTTTTGTTTAATGTACACCTGAAAAGTTGAAGGTACCAAAAAAAGAGTAAAAAAGGTCGCTGTCAACATATTCTATTTTTCGGACTCTATGACGTCACAATATGGGACGCTTACTAAAATTCATCCTTTGAAATAAAACTTCCATCTACCTTTATCAAGACGAAAAATAAGTATAATAGTCATATATTGTTTGAGTTATGAGCGTTTAAAGACGAAAAATAATTCAAAATGTAACGTGTCAACATGGGATATTTGCCAGATGTTTTGGTAAAAAACTCTTTTTTAAAAACGAACGCGCAAAAAATGTGAACGGAGTGTAGTTGATCTAAAATCTTCATCGAAACAGCTTTAAAATGATATATAACTTTAATTAGAATATTATCTTATAATCCGGGGAATCAAAGTTACATTCACGCGATACCCTTAAAAAACAAATGCGCCACCTTTTTGCGACACGTCACTATTATGTCTCATTTCAGCGACACTGCCCTTGCAACTTCTAAAGGACTGTAGTGATGATTACCCAGGCTACACAGGCACAACGACAATCCAAACAACGATGAAAGAACATTTGAAGCCAATTGCAATTATGGTTGGCTATTTCTCTTCAGGCGTTTTAACGGGAGTGAAGGCTTCTTTCGAACATATTCTGAATACCAGTCAGGTTTCGGAGATCGAAATGGCGAAAATTTTCTTGAACTAGATAATATTGTGAGTGTTTTGAACCAAGGAGGATACACGCTCATTCTCCGTCAAGCGTGACTTTGAGGTGTCAAAATATTAATTTTTCGACCTCAACCAAAATACAAGCTCTACTTAATTCATGGATGGCTATGGTTTGTGGATGAAAAATGCCAAGTTTCACCAGCCTTGTATCAAAATTGGAGAAGTTATAACGCATTGTATAAACGGTATGCTGTAACACACATTTAATTTACGAACCTAATTTACGGAACACCTCTAAATGCTAAAATGACAAATATTGTACATCACATACTTATATCCTTGGCTGCATATCGACCTCATGGACCTAACAAGTAAATTGATATAAAAATCTAAGTTAATTTTCGTATTATCAAAAAACGTGTGTCCCGTAAATTAATCTCGTAAATTAATTTAGGATTTCAACTAATTATAACATAAGAAATATGAAACCATGATCGGGAATATAGCTGGTTTTAAAAAGAGACCCAACGTGCCTAAATATCTGTTGTATGTTATGTCATTTTATGTTATATTTATTTTCATATTATAATTATTACAATTTGAATAACAAGGTATGCACAAGACGCTGGGCGTATACTGTGCAGTTTACACCACATTACATATTACATTGTATTTCATACTTGAGTGGGTTTGGGGTAGATATCACCCGGGAATATATATCATATCTGAGGAGCGGGCAGGATATATTGTATATGTCCCGCTCTAGGCCAAATGCGGGCAGATATAATATATCCATCCCGCTCCCGGGAATTTTTTCATAAGTTTAAAAAAGTTTAAAAAAATTTAAAATTTAAATTTCAGAAGTTTAAAATTTTTCAAAAAGTTTAAATGTTACAATTCTATTGTATTGAACTGAAGGAATATTATGAAAATGTTAAATATAAATTGTGCTTTTACCGTATAGGCCTATCTTGTTTTTTGAAAAAGGTGGTAAAGGTTATATCTACCCCAAACCCACTCAAGTATGAGATACACCAGTTATGTACGGTCGGTTTTGGATACAGTGTTTATCCCGCGGGAAATATGTGTATCTCCCTCGGTCCCTGCGGTCCCTCGTGAGATACACATATTTCCCTTGGGATAAACCCTGTATCCAAAACCTCCCACTACATAACCCTTATGTAACTTATATAATCAAGAGCACATTCTTTGATGATAAGGATCACCAGATTAGCAACGAAACATGAACACAATGGACCATGACATGATATTTGATATTAGATGTAGGTAGAGAGGAGAAGTGATTTCAAAGAAGATTTAAACAAAAATAAAGGAGAAGACATAATGATGTTTTCATTTACTCCGTTCCATACTCTTAATAGTTCTACATTTATTGACTTTTCACAAAAATTCGTTTTTAAACATATATGAACGTATACGGTCTTTATTTCTAGTCTTATGGACATGTGTATCAGCATTTGTAGAATAGAATTGTTTAAAAAGGTGATGCGGGAACTTGTCAGGTTTATTTATATTTTGGTATGCAAAGTTGGCAACATTGAAGTTAAATATGTCATAAATATTTAAGATTCTAAGATCTTTCAATAAAGGGGCGGCATGAGCTAACTTACTAGAATTTGTTATTAACCTGGCAAATTTCTTCAGGAGTATATACAAAGGCTCGAGGAGTTTTTTATCAGCATTACCCCAAATTATATTACAGTAATCAATTAAAAACAACAGCATGGAAACATTGGATTACTTATCCGATTTGACAAATGCACTTAAAACTTTGGCTGAAGATCCCAATAAGTTGTGCCAAAGTTATGCCAATAATTGAACGTTTTGTTGTGATTTTAACGAAACAACTATTTCATTCGAGAATATACAGGCGGTTCTATGTTTGGTATATTAACGAAGACGCAATTCAAATATCTAGTCCCTCGCTTTTGTTACGTTGACGATCTACGTGAAGATGGTCATGAAATATAATAGGCTGGTAGCAAATTGAATGATGAACAAAAGTGTAAAATATCAGGGAGTTATTTTCTAAAAAATGGTATAAAAGTTGGCAGAAAAGAACTTGGGGAAAATCGGATGGGGTCATCCGACCCCCCACATACCCGCATTAGAGTAAGGCTTGTTTTTATATATCAGATATCAGAACCTTACAGCAAAAGCTATGAAATTACATTCTATCACTATCTGCGGTATTTTATCCACGATATCGAGGAGGTAGTTTAAATTCATTATAGAATTTATATTGAATCGAGTTCTTCAATTGTTCGCCGCATTGTTCATATTTTAATAATTATATGTACAAAAATCATCTCTTGACTGTCTTTATCTTGTAGGGATGAGTAGTATAGGCTGCAACTTTCGACCTACAACCGGCACCGGCACTGTTCCACTTCCACGTTCCACTTCCACCGGAAGTGACGTCATAGCTCACGTGTTCCACTTCCACAGGAAGTGACGTCATAGGTCACGTGTTTACATGGTGTACTGGCAGTGATATAACTGGTCAAAGGTTACTGATAACAGATAAGAGATAGCTCAATTGATAAGATAATCAAACAAACTGGTCAAAGGTTACTGATAATTGATAAGAGAGTGGTTGTGATGATAAGCTATCTGTCTTTTTCATGGATGTTTCATTGTTATAGGTCAAAGGTTGATAACAAACTGATAAAACAGTGAAAAAGATAACTGCACAACAATTTCGACCAATCACATGGCTGTAATATATCAATTTGACCAATTATATTTGACACATACTTCATAGGTTGTATAAGCTGTAGAACCATCATGCCACTTTATATCACTGGTCAAAGGTTACTGATAATTGGTGCAAGATCGAGGGTTTCTGATAACTGATAAGATATTCAAACAAACACTGTTAAGGTAACCTGGTGACTATGTGATAAGCTATCTTGTCTACTTCATGGATGTTTCATTGTTATAGGTCAAAGGTGAATAACAAACTGATAAAACAGTAAAAAAGATAACTGCAGAACCATTTCAACCAAACAGGTTTTAACTTGCAGAATTATGTTAACCATTCAGTGTAGAGTATGTTTTAACCAATCAGGTTTCGAGATGCAGAATTATAACAACCAATCAGGGATAGTATGTTTGTATTATCTGATCCAATCGATGTACAGTATATTTTCATCCATTATTTTAACCAATCGGGTTGCAGTATATTTTCATCTAATCAGAAAGCAGCAAATTCAACCAATCAGAGATAAGTTCCACCAGTAAACCAGTTTAAACATTCTAGTATTATGCAACACAAATATTTACTGAGAGATTGACATTGCTAAGGTCCGGTCAAAGGTTACTGATAATTGATTAAGAGAGAAGTCTACTGATAAGATAACCAAACCAACACTGTTAAGATAACTTGGTGTCTAAGTTATTCAAGCTCTTAAGTAATCTGTAGAACAAACCTTTGACATATGATATCACTGGTTAATGATAACTGATAAGAGAAAAGTAGAGAGTTTAAGTGTACATCATTAATATTATTGAGAACAACAACACAATAAATATATTAAAATAAACATTTAGAAGGTTGATCTGGGGATCAAACCCAGGACCTTTTGCTCCTAAAACAAGCATCATACCACTAGAACAATCAACCATAGATATGGAGAGAATATTTTAATATACTTCATGGCAATCATAAAAAGTATAGCATGTTTTGAATCAGATATTATGTTATGGTCAGGAAAACAATAACTGCAGAACTATTTTAAACAATCGGGGTACAGTATGTTTTCATCCAATCAGATATAAGAAAATCACCCAGTAGGAGAATTTTTGCAACATTACAAGTTCCGGCTGGTATTGAAGTTTTATAACCAACAAGCCTCCTGAGTCATTTTAGAATAATTTTTAAAGTGTCACGTTTGAGCGATTTCAGTCACTGTTGGTCGATTTCTGCTGATTTTTGGAGTTTGAATCTTTTGTTGTTCGATGTATGTAAATAATTCCTCTCAGTTGAATTTACAAACAGAACCTAGGTCATTGCTACATGCTGCTACAAAGGTAGATTAACCAGTTATTTTGGACAGCGACCAAGTGTGAAGCGAAAACTGGCAGCTAACTGGAAGCCCAGCGGGTACTATTTATGTTTACATGAGTTTTCCCTCCAATTGTAATCAACCCCTCAAATGTCTAAAAAACATGTAAGTGTACTTTTTTAGAATCTTTTTTGGAATATTTTCGACCAATCAAAGTGTATATGCAAATGAGCTGCAGAACCATTTCAATCAATCAGATCAGATTATTGCACTCTTTGACCCCGCCGCCGCCGCCACCGCCGCCGCCGCCGCCGCCACCGCCGCCGCCGCCGCCACCGCCGCCACCGCCGCCGCCGCCACCGCCGCCACCGCCGCCGCCACCGCCGCCACCGCCGCCACCCGTTGTGCCTTTAATGGCAGGTGATATTTATATTTAAATAAGTTTTCTATCAAATTGCAATCAGACCCGGTAAAAAGTAAAGATGGCGGCGGCGGTGGCGGCGGCGGCGGTGGCGGCGGCGGCGGCGGCGGCGGTGGCGGCGGCGGTGGCGGCGGCGGCGGCGGCGGCGGTGGCGGCGGCGGTGGCGGCGGCGGCGGCGGCGGCGGTGGCGGCGGCGGCGGTGGCGGCGGCGGCGGCGGCGGTGGCGGCGGCGGCGGGGTCAAAGAGTGCAATAATCTGATCTGATTGATTGAAATGGTTCTGCAGCTCATTTGCATATACACTTTGATTGGTCGAAAATATTCCAAAAAAAGATTCTAAAAAAGTACACTTACATGTTTTTTAGACATTTGAGGGGTTGATTACAATTGGAGGGAAAACTCATGTAAACATAAATAGTACCCGCTGGGCTTCCAGTTAGCTGCCAGTTTTCGCTTCACACTT